GTTCTTGTTGATCAGATATATTATCTATTTTTTTGATTTAATATCGATACATAATTTACTAATATTATAAACATAAATATGATAAAAATAACAGTAAATATTTCCAATATCAATATCTATATCCTCAGAAATAAATTCTCTGGTATGTTTCTTTGGTCGCTTTTGTGTAGCATAAGCTAGTCATTTAGACTTATATCTAAAATAATCAACTTAAATTGATATATATAATTAACAAAATAACAATATATAGTATATTTAAAAATAATAATACCTTTTGAATTTATTATTTGTCTAAGCATTTCATAAAAAACCCAATCGTTAGCCATATTTAAAAACTCTGGATATTCATTAGCAGCTTCTCTAAACCATGCCTTTTGAATTTCTTTTGGAATATATTTAATATTACTTTTTTTTGAATAAGCACTATTTTGTTGTAAGTTACAAAGGTATTTCTATTTAAAAAAATAGTATTATTATAAAGTTATTACTAAAAACTGTTTATATTTGTAAAAATTACCTTGTATTCTTTAACTAGTGCAGGATCTATATTCAAAGTTTTGGCAATCAGAATATTTGTATACTATTTGCTAGTAACTGGATTGGTTATTGGTTTTTGTATTTTTTCTCTTTCTTTAATTTTAATTGATTGAGCTTTACGGATATACCATTCCACTTTGAAAGTGCTGTCCAAATCAGCAGGTAGTGCATCAAGTTCACTAATATTATCGAAAAAAGAGGTTTCAGTTTCATTAGACATTTTAAATGTTTGGAAATAAATTTAAAATAAATTTAAAAAAAAATTTTGCTTAACGATGTAAACAAGCTTAAATATGTAAACAATGATTAATTATAACTACGTAATTGACAATTAATATTATATTTATAAAGCAATTGTGATTGTGATTTTGATTGAGATTGAGATTAAAATTATTAACACTAGCTAATTTATTATAAATCTGAGTCTGTATTGGCTAAATACAAACTCAACTTTAGCAATCTTTGCTATCATTATAATGTAGTAATTAGTTAGAGAAATTTTACTTGTTATAATAAATATCTATTATAGCATTATTTCAGAGAGAAAAGTGTTTGCTATAATTTTTTAAATAATTTTATTAAACAATTTTAAAAATATATGCATTATTTTAATATAGATAAATCTTGTTAATATTTGTATGAATGTAATATTTTGATTATAAAAATTTGTAATATAATTTTTTGTACTATAACTGAACTCAAAGGTCGAGATTTCTATCAAAAAATAACCAATTAATTTTTACTTAATAAAAATTAAAGCCCTTATATAGTAATAAATAGAAAGAATAAGTAGTCAATATATATATTTTGATTAGATTTTTTGTACTATAACTGAACTCGAAGGTCAAGATTTCTATTAAAAAATAACTAATTAATTTTTACTTAGTAAAAATTAAAGCCCTTATATAGTGATAAATAGAAAAAATAAGTAGTCTATATATGTATTCTGATTAGTAGAAAGATTTATAAATATGTATCAAACCCAATAGATGCTTTTCAAGACTTATTATCTAATCAATTAGCCTGAATATACTAACATGCCGTTTAATATTACAGTAAAAAAAAACTTTTGCCTTAAAAAATAGATCTCTAGTTTTGAACAAGTAATTAGCATTTAGCATCACATAATACAGACAATAGATAACCATGTTTGCAATGCCTAAAATTAACTAGTTTATAACTATATACACAACCTTGAAGTGTATATCAAACCTGATCAAATCTATATGCAATATATATTTATTATTAAACTATATATACATATATATTAGTTTACTTTTCAACTATAAAGTAAACTCGAAACTCGAGATTTGTTATTATTAAAAAAACCTAAAAGATTTATATATATATATATATATTTTTTATACAGTTAGATCTCTTTAAGTGCATGCCCTTGGAACCACACTTTAATAATATGTATATAAAGAATAATAAGAAAAGATACATTTATAGAGGTCAGATATATATTTAAGCTAGCACTTGAGTATATATTTAGAGAGTATGTGTACTTAGAGAGGGTGCACTTAGAGAGGTCTAACTATATAAGGTACATATACTCGCATTGCATTGCATAATATATATACTATATATATTATATAATAATATGAATAAATATTATTGTTGCCCCATTACATGACATATTTGTAATGGGTCATGTGCAATATATAAGCAATGATTATCATTGATAATCATTGCTTTTTTTTTTTTTTTTTTTTCTAGTGCGTATATGTTTTGCTAACCAAACACTTTTTTTTCAGGTAACTAGGCATCGTTATTGGAGTTGTCGTCTTTGGAGTCATTGTTTGTGGAGTCATTGCTACTGGAGCTAGTCTTTGCTGGTGTAGTGCCGTCGTCGATTTTGGTAGGCTTTGTGGTGCATCGTTGACAGCATTTCGCCTGTGTAAATTCATAGGTTTTGTTTTTCTAGTACATGTGTTTTATTAACTACCTCTTTTTTTCAGGCAACTAGGTGTCGTTACTGGAGTCGTCGTTTGTGGAGTCTTCGTCGCTAGAGCTAGTCTTTGTTGGTGTGGTGCCGTCGTCGATTTTGGTGGGCTTTGTGGTGTATCATTACTGGCATTTCACCTGTGTATATGTTTTACTAACCAAACTCTTTTTTTCAGGTAACTAGGCATTGTTATTGAAGTCATCGTTTGTGGAGTCATCGTCGCTAGAGCTAGTCTTCGTTGGTGTTGTGCTGTCATTGATTTCGGTGGATTTTGTGGTGCATCGTTATGTTGTGCCATCGTTGATTTCGGTGGATTTTGTGTTGCATCATTATGTTGTGCTATCTTTGATTTCAGTGGATTTTGTGTTGCATTGTTACTGGCATTTCACTGTGGTGTTGATTTCGGTGTCTTCTCCGGGTTCCCGCTCTTGTTAGTTCGCCATTTTTGGTGGATTGAGTTATCGCTTTCATTTTTCTAGAGTTTCACCGTCAGTTTCATGTACCTATTTTTTTTTTTTTTAGAAGTTGTTGTCCTTAAAGTTAAGGTTACTGTCACTTCATTTTTGTGGTGCTGTCGATTTCATAGCATGCCAATTTCAGTGTTTGGAGCTTTTCGGTTTCACTTATATAGGTTCATGCTTTCAGTGAATTTTGTGGCATCTCTTTACATGACGATTTTGATGGTTAGAGTAGGGTGAGATTAGTTAATAGTTAGGGTTAGTTAGTTAGTGGTTAG